AGTCCGTGTGACATCAGTGGTTCAACTGTAAAGTTACGAAGCTACGAGAATACTTTTTTGCACAAAGAAAACAAAATTAACGACTTTATTCCACATTTTCGTCTCTACTGTGTCACTTTGGACGTGCGTTCACAACAGTACCATGACGCGAGCGTATGGTGGCGCTGACCCAGATCCAGCGTCATGATACTGTCGTGAACGCAAATCCACAAGTGATGCAGTAGAGACGAAAATGTGGAATAAAGTCATTATTTTTGTTTTCTTTGCGCAAAAAAAGTATTCTCGTAGCGTCATAACTTTACAGTTGAACCACTGATGTCACATGGACTACTTTGTCGATCATCTTGTTACTTTTCTGGACCTTGAACGTGGTAGTTACCTTGCTGTCTACGGGAGGGTCAGAGAGCCCTCAGATTTCATCAAAAATATCTTAAATTGTGTTCCGAAGATGAACGAAGGTCTTACGGGTTTTGAACAACACAAGGGTGAGTAGCCTAATTAATGACAGAATTTTCACTTGTGGGTGAACTAACCCTTTCTGTACTCATACATTTCCAGTAAGACATTATTTAGTGTGTTTTTAAACAATGTAGATTAATTTTTTGCAGTTTTAGAAACTTTTACATAATAAAAATAAACAAATTATATATATGGCTGCTTTATAACGCATTAATTCAAATGGCCTTTTATGCCTGTTTTTCACGTTTCGCTATATTAGTGTGGTACATTTTCTAAACTTAAGCCCATCCATGCATACATAAATCTGCGCACAGACAGAGCAGGATGGTCTCATTGTGGTGGAGCTGCACGCGCGCGTTGAGGACTCGAGCAGTGGGAGGAGGAACTTCAGCTCGCTCATTTATTGAACGTTTCTTCACATTAGTGCGCACTCGAGTTCGACACACATGCTGGGAACGAGACACACACGCCAGAGCTCTCGAACACACTGCGATCTGAGCGCTCGCTCAGCCGGATCATTTTCCAAATTCGAATGTAACAGCAGCGGCGGGATGCGACATTATCTCCGTCTGTCGGCGCTTTGAGCAACGCGCATCACGCAGGATGGAGAGGAAACTTTGCTGAACTTAAAGCCGTTTTTTTTATTTGCTTTGCTTCAGATGTGGTGAGTGCATCGTTTACTCACTGATATTGTCTTGTTGTGTGTTGTATTTGACAATTACAAACAGGTAATATTTCCTGTCTTTATAATGCACTGCATGTATCCTTCATACTATGAGTTATGTTGTTAGAAAATCTATTAAAAACAGGAAAGTGCAGAAGGACGTGTTTGTTAACATTTTGGGGATGTTGAAAGGAGGGTTGAAGGTGCAGATATTTAAATACATTCTTTAAAATAAAGTTTAATTTAGGATCACAATAGTGTTATAGTGGTAGCCTATGTCATGGGAGAACCTTTTTATTTTTTCCCTTCCTTGTGCATTAAATGAAACCTAAACACTGATCTGAAGAACCAATAAAGAAACATCACTATTTTTAGAGCCATATAGAAATTCAGGAACCCTATAACCCTCTTTTTAAAGGAGTGCAGATAAAGGCTAGATCTAGTACTGAATGCAGTGCATTGAGTATTTCTGTTTTATTTAAGAAAAACAGATACTTGCATTATTCATATTATTGATTGTATTCTTATTTTATATTTATTTATTGCAGAACACTTTAATCAAACAATGTAAAAAATGCCTAAGTTTAATCATGCTATAGTTTGAATTGAATAGAAGATTCTAGTTGAGATGATTCAGTTCATACTCTTAAAAATGAAGACGAGGATCTTGAATAGTTACTAACTTCAGAAACATCTGCTATATCAAGAACTATATTTGGCTCTGTATAGTAAAATATATTTAATAGATAGATGAATATTATAGATTCTTCAGATTCTGTTTTTTTTTTTTTTTGGTTTCTGTGTTCTTTAAATAATCAAAACACATAATAATAATAATAATTTGTCATTCCTATTTTAGGCACATTTCATAAACAAAGCATTTTATGCAAACAGAATTAAAAGTACTATAATTTGAATACAATTTGAATAAAAGATTTATTTGTAAGTCATTCAGCTGTTAAGTGAAAGTATTAGTGTTCCAAATCAGGTAGATACGTATTTTGTATTTGTAATAATTTGTATTAATGTAGTACCTATTTTTATATCGAGACTTAAGCATCACACTGACCAAATGCACAAAAGAAAAAAAATGACAATATACCCTACGCAGACTTCAAATATTATAAATTATTGTCTTTTGGGACCTTTTTCCATCAAAAACTGGTATCTGCTACTAAGGTGATATTTAAAAGTGCAATGAATGTTGTTTCTATTTTTGTTTATATCATGGGAAGCTCAGCATGATTAAAATGCTAACACGATTTGAACACATTCACTTGGGTTAAAATGCAGTGTAATATTGTTTCAGATCACTCCCTGACATTGCAGTAGTTTTTAATGGGCCCCTTCTATTATCAAAAACCAAAGAAACTTTAATTAGTGCTATTCAGAACCGTTTTCTAAGATCTTTGAACAGAATACTTTGTTTTTCAGATCTAAACATCTGTGTCGTTCTTAAATTAATTTCTTTTCACTCTGTTCAATCACTCTTGGTAATTATTTTTACTCTCATTTTAGCAGCCTTGGTTTATGCATACGTGTCTATTCACATGAGCAGATTTCTTTTACGAAATTTGGCTGTTTGAACTAAATGCTGGATTTCACAGAGCTGGACGATTACTCTGAAATCGCTGAGGCGATGTTTAAAGTCAGGAAGCTAATAAGGTAATTTTAGGGTGTCTTGCTAATCATTTTTCAAAGAGAAGCATTCATCGTCCTCGAGAAGCTCTCACAACCCCCCGCTTTGTTTCACGAGAACGCAGGTCACTGTTGCACAATTCCAAATGATTAACCATCCAGGTCCACAGAAGAGATCATGAATCGGACGCAGAGATCCAAAACCAGTTACAGATGTAGTACTGATCCTAAACGCCAATGCGTGATTCTACCATCATGACTTTGCAACACCACAAACAAGTCCAAGAAATATTGACTCATGCACGGCAACTCAGCAGATTCTGTTTTTCTAACATGACAACGTAAAATGAATAATTAGGGTGCCTTGCTAATCATTTTTCAAAGAGAAGCATTCATCGTCCTTGAGAAGCTCTCACAACCCCCCGCTTTGTTTCACGAGAACGCAGGTCACTGTTGCACAATTCCAAATGATTAACCATCCAGGTCCACAGAAGAGATCATGAATCGGACGCAGAGATCCAAAACCAGTTACAGATGTAGTACTGATCCTAAACGCCAATGCGTGATTCTACCATCATGACTTTGCAACACCACAAACAAGTCCAAGAAATATTGACTCATGCACGGCAACTCAGCAGATTCTGTTTTTCTAACATGACAACGTAAAATGAATAATATTTCTCATTTGCACAGGCATGCAATGCAATGTATTTTGAAAAACATTGTGATATGATGAACATTTATCATCTGGTGTTTTTTTAGATATTAAAACTAAAAGAACAAAAGGGCATTACATTAAATTATTCATATTAAATTTAATATCCTGCTGCCAGTAGAAATCCAATCCGTTCACACTTGATTCCGCTTTAAAAGAACCAGATTCATATGAAATTCAATCGCCTGCTGCTGATTGAAGTGGTTACTTTCCAGTCTGTTTAGACTTTAAAAGAACCAATTTCAAACCTCTTTGACTATCACAAAAATGAATAAATAAAAATGAACACCATTCTCTTTGCATTCACATTTCACATGCTTTGAAAATGGAGTCAGATCTCTTATTCTCAGTATGACGATGGAGATTTGGAGTATGTGCATTACTCCATTTGGTAGCATGCCGATATTTTTGTTAATTTATTCAAAGCCATTTATGGATAGGTCAGATCACAAATGAATTAGGCTGAAATCAGACATAAATGCACCCAACACTTATTTAGATTATTTCCCCCATTGGAAAATGTTAGACGCACAGCACATCAAAGGTCACGTGCACAGGGGCAAGTTTGATTTAACGCTCTCGTTTTCAGTGTATAATAACATCAGGTCTCACTCTGAGCTCTCTTTCCATCATGGTTCTGATTACTAACCCTAATAAATTGTGAATAAGCTGCACAATTCCTGCTCGAGGAGGCAAAGCGAGGCCCGAGTTCCCCATCCTGAGACGCCCCCTCTTAAGAAACCATGAATTAATTCCTAAAGTCCTCTGTAGCCAAAGGTTTCTGGAATGATAAATATTTTCATAGGAAGCACAGCTCTTCCTGAGTTTATCAGCGCTCGGTTCATTAGGGGCCGGCCGGTGTTAACTCCTCGGTTTTAGGGTGAGGCTGGAGGTCTTGAACTCCGCTTCTGCTTTGAATTGTCAACCGATCCTCTGCTTCCAGATGGAAGATAACCTCGCCCGTAATGAGCAAAATATTTAGCTAGCGCCAATAGAGGGATTCCCGAAGTCTTGTGAGTCTTGCGCAACTGGATGTGATCAGTAGCGAAGAGCCGTTGTCACAGTTAACACTTTGCCACATCATCAGACAGTCGCGACTGTGGCTCGAAGTCCTGGCCAAGGAATTTTTCACTGCTCAGGATTAAAGGTATGAAAAGCCTATAATGCAGATATAGGAAAAGAAGCCTTCTAAACAGACATGAATTTTAATAGTGCAACATTCTTACCAATGTTAATAGCAACAAGGCAAGCATCACTGCCATTATTGATCATACTTGGAGAAAATTTTTTGGTTTCTGAATCTCTAGTCTGTCTTTTCCCAAAACAACTGTTGATTTGAGTGTACAGGAATGCTTTAGCAGCGCAGTTACGGTCAGAGGCCAGACGACAGTGGGCTGAACTTCACATAAACTCCTCACTTTGATCAGACAATGCTCTAAACGTCTTTGATTACAACCAAACTTTCTTTTGTAAAGCGAAGAAACTGTTGTGATCAAATGTTGAATGTTTTGGGTGATTTGCATTACTTTTGAAGGTTTAAACATTGATTGTTGATTATGGTTGGCTTTCCAGACAAGAAATATCAGAGAATTTGTAAAATTGTGATCTGGAGGTCCTTTAATGGCTTTTTTTTTTTTTTTTTTTTTTAGGACAAATCCCAATGATCATCAAGCGGTCTAATAGGTCAAGCAAATCAAGGACATTTGGAGCACTTAAAAACACAAGCGTAACTGGCAGGGTGTGGTAGTGAGTATATACTGTGTGTGTTTCTAGTATGGATGTTGTGTATTAGCATCTGTGTGTGTGTGTGTGTGTGTGTGTGCATGTATATATATATATATAGAGAGAGAGAGAGAGAGAGAGAGAACAACATGATCAAAAACAATATTTTTGCGGTTTCCGTTACTAGGGTGTTGCTATGGTGATCTGGGTGGTTTCTAGGTGGTTGCTTACTGCTCCGAGTGAAAAGTCTCAGATTTTTCCATCTCAGGTTCATCTTCATTGTAAATCTGTGGGAATTTCATCATTTAGTTTGTTCAGATCATTAGCCAAATGATGAGTAACACTAATAGTGATGCTTGACTTAACAAAAGGCAATATACTGTGTGGAGAGATTCTATATGTTAATGTGAATAGGAAGCAACAGAGTTTTGTAGTTCTCTTTCAGTCTGTCACACACACACACACAGTCATCCAAACCCCTCCTTTTCTCTACAGTCTCATTCTTTTCCAAACAGCAGCTGGTTCTTCAGCTATTGCCAACCTTTAGTCCTTATCTTATATCTTAAGACACACACACACATTTGCAGCCAATGTCACATGCATCACTGTCATGGAATCATAAAGCAAAGTGCTGAGTGTGTGTGTGATCCAATGCATTAAATAGTTTACAAATGAAAGGTGCTTTATTTTATTATTTTCCCTTTTTATTTAGAACATGATGGATGCAAACCAAAATATAACATTCATGCAACAAATGAAGGCTGATATGAAAATGACGTCATTACTGTTGATTGAGTGATGCACCCAAGCAAAATTGGGACATTTCTACCATCACGCAGTATATACCGTTATACCCTTCAGCGCTGATGCGAATAATGTTTATTTTGGGATTTTTGACGACACTTATTGTATTAACAGCTCCAGC